AGCTAAAACAAAGTTTTCAAAATTAGAGAGAAAACTTATGAAATTAAGGTGTTTCGATGTGGATATTTGAAACGAAAACAAAAAAATAAAGGGGAAAGATAAGAGTAGTTATACTAAGTGAAACTATGTTGATGATGAATGTCATATTATGATATAACATGTGTAAGAAGGGTTTGGGTTAAATAGGTTGAACTACTATAGAAAAAAGGTATGTTTATATGCAAAATATGGCCAATATGGCCAAAATTGAGTACTTTAATGTTAATTGATATGTTCGAATGCATGGTTATACATTATTATGTGGATAAATGAATATACATTAAGTAAATGGTAGGTTCTAATTTTTATAAATGATAAGAACATTTGAAAAGTGTGGATAAGTATTGAATCTTATGAATTTAGCTTGTTTTCTTGATTTGTAAACATATATTAAATAGGAACCAAGACATGATTTCTAGGTTGATTTGATATGTTCATGATGGTTTGAAAATCATGTTGACACACGGAAGAGCACTAAGATAACATACTAATAGAGTAGATCGTACATACATTATAGATAGGTGTTTAACACCTAGCATTAATTTTAAATTTAATGATTATAATTATTTTAGTTTTTTTATTTTTAAACAAATCATTCTAGGATAAATGAAAATAGAAAATAATGTTAATATTAATATTAATAGTAAAAGATTAAAAAAAAATATTTGACATCATTGTTTGAAGACCAAATATATTAACATCATCATTTGATGACCAGGATGAATTTTTCAATTTGTCATAAGGTGGGGACTATTAGTATCGATGTTACTGATAATTAGGTTTGATTTAGTTGATAATCTCAATTAATAGGTTAAATTTTTAAAAAAAATAGTGTTATTGATGATCAAGATTGATTTAGCTATTGGCATTAATTGATAAGTTAAAATTCTTAAAGGAATATAAATAAGGAAATACATATTGATGAGTTACTTATCTATTAAGTAATTGTCTTTAAGGTTGTATATTTATACTAGTGTGTATTTGATTTTAAGATCTTTATCATCCAAATAGATCCAAATAGGAGCAATAATTTGTTTATTTTGTATTTATTCCATACTTAGGTAATGAACATGTAAATATGCTATGTTTTAAAATTCTTCTTTTTTGTCATGTAAAGTATAATTTATGATAAATTTATTATGTATTTTAGATAACTATATTTTGTTGGGTATGTAAATTCAACTTATTAGTTGATTAGTAATTAAGTTTTGAAAAATAAAATATATGATTGAATGTCTTAATCATTATCAATAACACGTATTATATATATTGATGTTTTGTCAACACTAATTTTTCATTCAAATTCAATAGCCATAATAGTTTTTATTTTATAATTAAGAGTTGAAAAGTAAGCATTATAATCACAAACCTCAACTATATTAAATACAAAACTACTTATATCCACATGATCCCTTAATAATAATTATTTCTAGATAACAATGTCATTAGGATAACCTTTATCATTGTCAAATTAATATATATATATATATATATTACTCATTGCTTAGTTAGAATTGCTTTAATATCCTCCAACAAATTTAATGACAAATTATCCTTAATAAAATACTTTTTTAATATAAAAAAGTTTGTATTTTTAAAAACTTTGCTATCTAAATATACAAAAACAAATTTAGATATCCAATTACAAATAGAAAATCAAATATGAAAAATTACAAATGTGTATAAAAAAACAAAACTCAATTTTTTAATGGATTTTAGAGAGTGGAATTAAGAGATTACCCTGAAATTAAGCTTATAGTTACTAATAAAAAGATAAATCTCATTAGAATTGACAATATTGTACTTTTTTATTGTAATTGCATTATTATTTATATCATTTAATATGCATTTTATATGTCCTGGATTAAACCTTATTAATTTTTTAATTATTAAAATCACCCATGACTTGTTATCAATAGGAGATATAGTTTTGCTATTTTTTTCTCCTTTGTTTGAAAAAGAAAAGGAAAGCTCAATTTTAAACTTTAAAGTGTTTAAATTTTAAAATCATTAATAAAATGAAACTCAATAGAAAATCACAAAAATTATTAAAAATAAACCCTTAAAAGATTAAATTCGTTGTCAAATCATAAGATTCAAGTAAAATATTTACAAATTAATTAGTAAAAGGTAAGGTAAATTAAATCAAGAATTACATAATCTTGACTAGTTTCTTCGTAGTGAAAATTCTCCTTTTTATCTCTCTCCCTTTTACATCTCTCTTGTAACCTCTTTTTATTAATCTTTTAAAATTGGAACAAATGAAACTCATGCCAACTGAGGCTACTCGCTCCTCCTTTCCTTTTGTTTTTTGCTTTTAGTCTTGTAAAAGGGTCAAATTCTCTCTTTTTTTTCTCATTTTATTTCTTTTTAAGGTTATAATGGTTCCTCTCATATTCTTTTTTTTTTTCTCTTGTGTTTTTTTATCTTTTTTTTTAATAATCTCTCCTCACCCGTCTCTTGTTTTTCTTAGGTTGGGAAAAAAAAAAGAAGGAGAAGGTAGAGCATGGAAAAACCAAAAACATCTTTTAAAAACCATTTAACCATCCAAAAGCCTAGGTAAAAATGTAATTATATTATTTAAATTCACAATGTTATGAGTTTATAACCACGCTAATTTCGCCACACCATTTAGGACTAGCTTGTTTATGAAATTAGACCTTTTTTATTTATTTTTTTTATTTTTTTTATCTATTAAATTTAATTTTTATTTTTTAGTATTAAAAAAATCAAAATATTAATAAGTTATTTTTCATATAATTTTTATGGTATAATCAAACACCTGAAATAATTTTCTAATTTATTTTTTATGATACTACTAAAAATTAAAAAGTAATTCACTTTTAAGAAATCTAATTCACATAGAAAGTAAAAATCACTTTCTAACAAAAAATAAATTTTTAACAAATAATCAGGGCTTAGTTTTTTATTAATTATTAATAATAATAATTAGCTTAATCAAGTGTATAAAACATTAATATTATATAAAACTTCAAATGTTATGAGTAAAATAATACGCATATATACCATTCACCCTACTCTCTAGTATTTTATTGTGTACTCACTAGTTAATTTTTTTTATGACATAACCAAATATTAGAAATTATTTTATAAAACTCTATATCATTTTTCATGGCATAACAAAATAGTTGAAATTATTTTTTAACTTAATTTTTATTATATTACCAAACATTATAAAATAATCCACTTTTTAGGGAATCTTTTTTCCATAAAAACTACTTTCTAAAAATAAATTATTTTTCAGTAAATAATCAAGGCCTAGTTTTTTTTAATTAATTGATATAATAATAATAATAATAATTAGCTTCATCAAGTACATAGAACATTAACATTATACAAAACTCTAAATGTTATGGGTAAAGGAGTGTGCACGCATGTACTATTCACCCTCTCACATTTTTGTGGACTCATTGTATAATATTTTTTATCTTAGTTCTCAAATGTTTTTTGTATGATTGCATTATTTTTTGCCTAAATTAAAGGATAATTAAATCAAATTTGTTGACTAATGATAAAATTTAAAAAAAAAAAAGGATAAAAGTATGAGAGATGGCTTCAAATTTCTAACAAAAAAATTATTTCATCTTCAAACTTTAAAGATTATGTTTATTTAGTACCTTAATATTTTTGCAACTCTTTTTTAGTATAAAAGTTCTTTTTGTTTTTTTAATCTCTAATTTAGAAGAGAGAAAAAAAGAGAGATGACTAGATTCTAGAAGTGGAAAGAGAAAATTAACACTAACACCAATTTTAATCATCAAAATAGCTGATCTTAATGTCCTTGAAATTACATAAAAGTCATATCAAAGCTTGAGAAGGTTTTTAATTTTCAAGTTGAGTTTGGGTTTTTATGTGTTTTTTGTTTTTTTGTTTTTAATCAAGGTATTTAAATTCTTTTTCAGGTGTTTAGGTAAAAAATATATTTTTGGATCAAAAACATATAGACCCTATATTTTTGGCTGAAATAGTGACTAAAATTTAGAGAAAACTAGACAACATGTCGTATCGATTTTTTTTTAAAATGAGATTAGGGCATAAACCTCAATTTCATTTTAATAAAAAAAATCTAGCAATACTTGATTATTGTTTTTGTAATTTTTTCTTTTCTAAAAAAATCATGCTTCTTTTTATTTGTCTTTTTTAAATAATTTGTTATTTTATATTTAAATTAATACTATTTTTCTCTAATTTTTTATATTTTGAATTTAGCCTTTTTTTAATAGTTGTTGGTTTCTTAATTATTTTATATATATTTAATTTTTGAAGAGATTATTCTAATTTATTTATAATATTTTATGTTTTATATAATTAAAATTTATTTAAAAAATATTTGCCTTTTAATATGATTTCTAGCAAGTAAAACCTTATGATATGTTTTTTTATTTTATTCAATAAATTTTATGTGTATTTATTTCTACTATTATTTAATTAAATAAAAAATATTTTAATTAATAAATTCATTAAATAAAATAGAGTAAATAACTCGTATTATGAAATTATATATCTTAATTTATATTTATCTCTTCACTTTTTTAGATATGTATGTAATTATTATTAATTATTTTATTTATTTATTTATTTATTTATTAATATATATGATTCTTAATTTATTTAATTAGATATGTTTATAAAATTTTTAATTTATACTTAATATTTTTATATAAAAATATATATTGAAAAAGCTTGTATGCGTTTTTTTATAAAAAATGGAAAACACTATTTTTTAGCTTTATTATCTTTATAAAATCTGAATATCCATAAAAGGAGCTTCAAATACATAATTTTGAATAACGTAGCGATTATTTTTGCATTGATATTCTGTATAAAAAAACATAAAAATAATAATTTTAAATTAATTTTTTAATATTTTTATATTATTTTAGTATATTAATCTTAAAAATAAATAAATAAAAATTATTTTAATATATTTTTAACGGTTGTCAGAAACGTTTTCTAAAAATGGCATCAACTATTGTCACAAACAATCTATGGGGTAATCGTTTGATTCGCTCCTCTGTCTCTTTATTTCCCCACAAATCTTTATTTCTCTCTTCACTGTAAGTGACCATCTGTTGTTTATGCATCTGAGTTTTGCTTAATTCTTTGATTCTTTATCTGGGTGTCTGTTCCTCCTCCTCCTCCTCCTCCTCTCCTCCTCCTTTCCTTTTTTTTTCTGCTTTGACTTGAAGGTCTTGTGTTTGAATTGTTGATTTACTCTAGCTAATGGGGCCTCAATTTAATGATGAGAAGTAGGCTTTTTGAACCTTATGTTTGGTTTGGACAAAGTGTGTGACTTTATTGTGATAATTAGTTTGAATTACTTGTGTTGATTTTTATTGGTGAATCAAGTTGGGAAAACTTCAATCCATGTTCTTGAATATATGTATTGATTTTAAGTTTAAAGTGTGCTAAAGTTCAAGCACTGGCATCAACTATAGTTGTATAATTCTTTTAGTTTTCTAAACACCGTATTTTTTTGACAATTTGTCTGCTTCGTAAAAGTTTAAATGAATTGATGAACTCTGCTTCGTTATTGTCATGGGATTCTTTTCCAATTAGGTGTTTTCTGTTATTTAATTGTTTGTGCACTTAGTAAAAGTATTTAGCTTGATATATTTTGTTTCTTGTATTTGCTTTGTTGCTCATTACTTCGAACATGTTGGCTCAGCTTTGATTTGTGTTTCTTTTGTTTCACTTTACTTTCAGGGGAGACTATTTCATCCAAGAGCTGACCCCTTTCATGCATCATACCAGACATCTCAGTGGATTCCTCGTGTTACGGCTTCATCAGTAGTTGGGACAAGACCTAATTTCTCGACACAATCCTTATCCATGAATGAACCAGTTGTTTCTGTTGACTGGCTCCATGCGAACCTTAGGGAGCCTAACCTGAAGGTACCTGCTATTTCCTTTCTATAGAATGGCTTCTGATCAAACTTTCAAGAAGTAGGTCGTGTATTTCCATTTCAACAGAAGAATTATTTTCTCATTTCAATTGCTCTTGCTTATGTAAGAGCACTTCTTTCAGCCAAAAAGTTGTGCGGACTTGTATTTTATGCCTCAGGTAATATTATTTGTTTTGTGGAAGGAGTGCCAAAAAATAGTCTGCTGTCTTCTCTTTTTGAGATCTTATGGTTAAAACTCCAAAGTTTTGCTAAATCAGCAAACAGTTGTTGCGGCTATTTTCCGAAGAAGAATAAAAGCACTTTATGAGCTTACTTCATTGTTCTTAAGTTTTTGTAGATAGGAATTACTCCTTGGATTCCTGGATCAATAAATTTGCGTACTTGTCAAAAGAAAATGCACCTTTCATCTGGTTATGCGATATTGCAAATTGATACAGTTATCAGTCTGTGGTTTCATGATGGAATGTTTCTATGGTTGTCCAATTCATATGAAATTGTTTTAATTTGATATTTTACATCCTAAACATGGCCCTCATCATTCTGTCATGCATTGCTATCCGCAGGTTTTGGATGCATCCTGGTACATGCCTGATGAGCAGAGGAATCCAATTCAAGAATATCAGGTGTGATGAGTATGATTTAGTTTTAAATTTGTTTTGATTTGACCTTTTCATTGAAAATCTTGGATGGTTAATTTTAGATTAAAATTTCTTAACAATATTTTTGATGTTGCACTGAAAATGCACCTGTAATCTTCTTTCAGCCTTTATTATAGTAATAATGTTTCTAAATTATTCTCCTTAATTTGTGATTCACCATGGTCTTCTAAAATTTTCTGCTCACACAGGCTGCTCACATTCCTGGTGCCTGTTTTTTTGATGTAGATGGAATAGTAGATCGAACTACAAATGTAAGATTCTTTCCCTGTATTATTTGTTACAGATATTTATAGGTTTGAGCCTAAAATTGCTAATGCCTTTTTTTCATTTCTTCTTTTACCCATTTTCTTTTGGAATCATCTTTACGAATGCATTGTATTATGTCCATATACAAGAACTACTCGCTTTATAGACCATCATACTGGAATCAACCACTTTACAACTGAAGGATTCTATGATATCCCACGGTTTATTATTTTAATTATCGATTGTACCTTTTCCATTTTATCCCTTTCCTTATAATGTAAGGACAATGACTTGTATCAGTTGCCACACATGTTGCCATCGGAGGAAGCTTTTGCAGCTGCAGCTTCTTCTCTTGGTATTGAGAATAAAGATGGAATAGTTGTTTATGATGGGAAGGGGATCTTTAGTGCTGCTCGTGTTTGGTGGTAAGTTGTGGGACTGATAATATACTCTTTATTAGAATCTATGCTTATGGTTATTTGTTTGTTCTTACATACTTTGTTAAAATGGGAAGGATGTTTCTAGTCTTTGGGCATAGTAAAGTCTGGGTGTTAGATGGAGGTCTTCCAAGATGGCGTGCTTCAGGGTATGATGTTGAATCTAGTGCTTCTAGTGATGCTATTTTGAAAACTAGTGCTGCTAGTGAGGCAATAGAGAAAGTATATCAAGGCCAGACAGTAAGTTCATTTCTCACTTATATCCATGTGTGCACATGAATTATCTTTGTAATAAATAATATTGTGCTAAAACCTTCAGTGAACAAGGTATATTCAAATTGCTGCATAGCTTTGACATCCCTTTATTTTGGCTTTTCTTAGCCAGAAAACTGGGATTATTGAGATATTCTGTAACAAACAAACATGAATAGAGATAAATGTGTCAGCATTCATGACTATATGCTTGCTATGTCCTTTGTAGTCTACCTGTAATTTAGAATTGATAGTATATATACTATCTTCTAATTTTCAGTCATATTACAACCAGTTCCAAATCATGTTGTTTATATGGCAGGTAGGACCATTCACATTTCAAGCAAAGTTTCAGCCATGTCTTGTCTGGACACTTGAGCAGGTTAGTTGCTCTTTTCAGCTGTTGTGTTCCAGCAGTGTTGTCAAAGGTTAAAGGTGCTAAAATGCACCAATTATGTAAAATGCCTGAGGTTGTAGGCGCTCGCCTGAATGAACCAAGACAATATGCTATAGATTAAAAAAACTATTTGTAATATTATATTATATTATATTATCTAAAATATAAATCTTCCCAATTAAGATTAGATCATTAGAAAATCAAAAGAAAATATGAAATACTATAAGAGTCACATAAAGATATATTTTTCACTCTGAAAACAAAATAAGATAATTTAAAGTAGTAAGTAGCCAAATAGATTAAAAAGAAAACTTAAATATTATCATCATTATTCATTAATCTTCAAAAACATCTTCACCAATGCTTTCCTGTTATGCACTTGTTTTGCTGTTCTCTAACTCTGTTCAATGCAAAGTATGGCAGTTGTTTTTCTTCAATTGTCCTTCCTTGAATGTATGTCTCTCACTTTAATGATTTTTTATTCTTTTTTTTTACTCTAATGTTTTTTTTTTTAAATACCCCTAAGTTGTTTCATGTGGTAAATTGAAAAATGGACAAATAGGTCAAAACATAAATAAGTTAAAAAAAGAAAAATCTAACATAAGAAGTATTTTAATCAGGCGCTCACTTTAAAGCTTGGCATCCTCTCACGAGGTGCTTGCCTAGGGAGCGCTTCATTGAAATTCATTGCTTGAGGCTAATAAAGGTGCTTGGCTTTGACTCGCCAGGAGTGCATAGGCTAGAGCCTCTTGACAACAGTGCATTCCAATGACAAAACTACGTTCTTTTAATCTCTTAAAGGTGGCCTTATATGCAATGAGTGTGCATTTTATGTAAATGGTTGGCTATAATCACGTATCTATGGCATTGATAATTTGACTTAACATCCACACTTGAGTGCTGAACCAAAGTCTTAGAGTGATTGCTATTTGTTTTAGTTTTGTAGGCACATCTGAGAATGCCTTGGATAAAACTTATTTCATGCTTGGCTTGTGGACAAAATTGATCGATGACCTTCTAATGTAAATAGGGAGTCAGCTTTCAGTCATTGATGATGATAACAATTAATGGTATTCCTAGTGTAATATGTTTTTTTCTTTCAGATAGCAGTAAATGATTGACATAAATTTTCCAGTTCACTTAAATTTTGTTGTTAGCTTTAAAAATTCACTCACTATCTGTTTTAAGTTTCATGTAAAAGTTCTTAAATTTGGGTTTCAAAATCAACCAGTTGATAGCTAAATTGTCTTAAGAAGAAAATAATGAGCTTGAATTTGATGTAATGTACCATGAATCATTCTGACCAAATACTGGTAACATGATCACCTGAGGCATTGCTCCTGAATTTGTTGTGGCTTATATAGGATTTGTTTGGTTTATGCATATTTAGGAATCAAACAATGAATGATGTGCTAACATGTAGTCGCCATTTGTCTGCAGTAATATAGACATGTATTAGCTTGACATCAGGAATAAAAAATCATAATGGGATTCCCTTGGATAAGTTTTGACATGCATTCTTCCATTCCTTCAAGTAGAAGGTTGACAAATATGTGCATATTTAAGCTGCATGTCTTATTTGATGTGACTCTTTATATGCTTTTAGTTTCAGTAATTGTCTAGCATGTCAGCGATCCTCAAAACGGGTTATCTGCTTCACTTATATCACGCATTATATGGTTTAATCTGCACTATATTCTTTCTCTGGGATGTTTTTTTAGGTTAAACAAAATATTGAAGACAAGACTCATCAACACATAGATGCACGTTCAAAGGGCAGGTAATCATAGTGATGTGCTTTAATTGTATTAATGATGTAATGGGATTGCAATGTCATCTTAGTAGGATAATTATGCTTAGTCTTTGTAGTGCTATATGACTTCCCTTTGTGTGATATTGAATGAATGTATTTGAGGTTAGCGATTTTCTTAGTTAACAGATCGGTGGAAAGTATAGAAAGCAAAAAATCATTAGTTTTAATTAATTAACACAAAAGTGTACGATAAGGTTTCTTGCAGGATTCTAAGTGCCATCTTGTTAGTTAGCAGGATGTCAATTTTCTTACACATTAAGCTCTGTTATATAATTGGATCTGGTGATTCATTTCAGTTTATGTAGTCGAACAGCCATCAAAACCATCATACTCTTTACAAGTCTCACCTATTCAGACGCCCCCTTCCGTTGAATCTGCTAACTTTGTTCTAATCATCATCTAACTAAATTTGACCAAGTTTATGTTCTCTACTTCTACTCAAAACATCAAGATATATTCAACTCTTCTTATCAGTGTGATCCAGGACTGTGTATTGAAGACATTAATGCGATCAAGGATATATGCTCTTCTTGCAGGTTTGATGGTACTGCACCAGAACCTCGAAAGGGAATAAAAAGTGGGCATGTGCCTGGCAGCAAGTGCATTCCATTTCCGCAGGTTTAGATTGACTTTCCAGTGCTGCTAATCTAATGATTATTTTTTGAAGCTCACTGGTGGTTCTCTATGTTTCCCCTTTTCTTCATTAGTGTGTTTGTTTTTCTGCAGATGTTAGGTGCTTCACAGACACTCTTACCAGCAGATGAACTTAAAAAACGGTTTGATCAAGAAGGTAAGAACCTTGATCTGTTCCAGGTTTATATTTCTCAGTGCAGGCCTTAAAGCATCAATTCCACAAACGATAACCATAAATGTTTCAATTGCTTTACATAACATTTAGATGGAATCCTTATCTCAGAATTTGTAACAGGTTATGTTTGGTCTCATGCATGCTCCTTTTTTTGTTATATTCCTCTTTTTCTGCAAGAAATGAATGGTTCTTGTTAGGTTTTAGGAGAAACATGATCGAAGAAAAGAAAACATAATTGTTTTTGTTATATGATTTTTGCCCATATAATTGGGATGTAATGAAGAAATACAATTTACTTGTCACCATTTGAGCTTTGCTAGCTGCTCATCATCTTTCATTATTTGCTAACTAGATTATATACTTTTGGTATCTGCTCAAGCTGTAGTGGATCTGACGCCTGTATTTTTATACAGGCATCTCTCTGGAAAGCCCTGTTGTTGCTTCATGCGGGACTGGTGTAACTGCTTGTGTTCTTGTTCTGGTATTTATTCTTCTCTTCCCAAGTATGACTGATACATCTTGGCATACTTCATGAAGTTCTTTTTCACTTTGTTATGTCAGAATAATTCTTCGTAATGAGTTGGGTACCATGAAGCTTAGATGCTATATTCTTAGTTTTTCAGTCCAGGGTAAAATGATTGTCTAAAAAACTGATCTTGTTGAAGAGCTAATGACTCCGGCTTTTATGTTTTAAAGGGTCTCCATCGACTTGGAAAGCCGGATGTTGTGGTCTATGATGGATCTTGGACCGAATGGGCAGACCGAGGGTGCTACTCCTGTTGACACTTGTTCATAAATCATATTAATGTGATGCACACAGGAGCTTGGCAGCATGCATGCCACGAAGTTTGCCTGGTTGAATACTCAGACGGGGGTAAAATAAAGGGTTGGATATCAGATTACATGCTCTCTTTTTTCCCGTCAATTTGTATGTGTTATTTTGCATTTTCATGCTCCGAAAACATGGGCCAAAAAATGAGAAAAGAAACAGAATAAGAAAAGGCTTTTGACGGATAAATTGAATATAACGTTGTCATTCACCATACATTGAGTGAATGACGACACCATTTCTTTTATGATGGCTTTTCCTTTACCGGTGCCTTTACCTTTAGGCTGTCTCCGGTGACTGCGAGCAATGACCGGATCTTTTCAAAGATTTGGAAGAAGCCGATAGCCAGATGTTTAAGACGTCCTTTCGTTTCGTGTCTTTGGACGTAAATATTCAGGCAGTGTATGTATTTGCAGTTGGATTGTGTTTTTCTTTTTTTAGTAAATTTTGGGTTTTTTTTTGTGTTTTTCAACCCTTTTAAAAATAAATTTTAAAAAATAAAAAATATTATTTTATAAAACTTGTGATTCAGTTTACTCAATCTGAAGCACTTAATCACGAAGCTTAGAATTCAATGAATATCAAATAATAAAGTTTCAAAAAAAAATCAATCATAAAAAAAATTCAAAAGAAAAAATATTAATTAAAAAAGAAAAATAATATTTTTTCAAAAAAAAAATAAGAGGGTGAGTAATATTGAATTAAAAGATTAAATTGAAAAACAATTCAAAAAAAATTAATGAAGAAATTTTAAAAAGAATAATGATTAAATTTTTATAAATATAAAAATTAAAAATTTTGATTAGAGAATGAAATTGAGAATAATTGAAAGTTTATAAAAAAAAGGTAGAAAAAAAAAAAGATAAGGATTAAATTTAAAAAAAACAAAAAAAAATAGATTTAAAAATGTAATTTTTTAAGAAAATTACAAATTAAAAAAACGATGACTAATCCTCGAATATGCCCATCTAGGACTCCTCTAAGATTTGAATTTCGAGAGAGGAGAGCGGAAAGAGGGCCCACAAGTTTTTAACTTTAATTACATTATCAGCAATAATAAGGTACAACTCCTCAATCAACCATTCAAAAAAAAAAAAACTATATAGCTAATTAGATTAATTATGTCAGCTTTCATAACAAGATTAAACATTAAAAATTAATTCACATAATTGAACTGAATTACTCTAGCTAATTCATTTGTTAGTAACTTATTCCAATCAAAAAATTCTTAATGATAACATTAGTAAATTCAACGGTAGAATAGATGATTTGTCATGAATCCCAATGCATAATTAAATCAACTAAAATCATTCTTGTTATTTATACAGGATATATTAAAATAATATTTTTTTATTTTTTAAAAATTATTTTTAATATTAATTTATTAAAATTATCTGAAAAAATAAAAAAAATATTAAAAAATTATATTTTTAAAAAATATTTTTAAAATATAAAAACAAACAGATTTCAAGAATAACATTATATATTTCTAATTTGAATTTACAATTTTATTTTTCTATAAATTTACTAAAATTTAATGGAATAAAAAACATCACCATTTCTCCAGAATATCTTATTAATCTGTAGAATGTCTTATCTACTAATTTATTCAAATATAAACAGAGCATCAAACATCGGCATGATCTCTAGAATATCTTAAAAAACACATCACCACCACCTTTAGTGCCCTGAGATTTCTTGCCCCTTGTACATGTTCATCGAAAAAGAAGAAGGGACAAAAGAGGCATACTTGATTTGAACAGCCATAAAAAAACCTTCAAAAAAGGAAGGACTATATATCTATGTAGTAGCAGGTTCCATATTTAGCATGTGGGTAATTAAACGTGGTCAACCACGAAAAGAAAAATATTGAAACCCACGGCAAAAAATGGATTCCTCGGTCCCAACGACAACCACATGGTGTGATTTTGGTCTTGAAGGTGGCCATTATTTCCCCGAGGAGATCTTGAGAAATGAAGAATAAAATATACCAGCATGGCACATGATCAGCCCTGCAGGAGAGCCCGTCGTAGATTTTTCACAAGATCCTTCAATGTCATGGAGAAATCAACGTCCATCTGCAAGAGGGATGAAGGGCCTGGTGAAATTCGGATATATGATGATCTAATTATAAAAACTCTGTTTATTATGATAAAAAAAAAAAAGTTATCTCAATTCTGGATTTAGAATGATTTTATATCATTACTCTATGATTTTCAAACTTAACAAGGTATACTATTTCCAGAAAACTGTATTAGAATTTTCTATCAGCTTAATTGTTTCTTTCACCGCATTATAGCGCACAGTGTTCTATTGAAAAATAGGATGGTTTAAAATTTAATTAATTTATTGCGAAAATTAATACAGAGAAAGAGGTCGTAACATGTGAAAAAAACTACTCGGAAATCAGATAGGAAATGACGGTGCAAGTGACACACTCACGTACAAAAAAAAAAACATGTAAACAAAATTGAAACACTCAGCTTAAGAGCTAATTACTCTCTTCGATGAGATCAAGAAAGATGTCTTATTATAGTGACTAACAGAAGAAAAGACATCATACGTGATTCAGATTCTTGACGTACCTGAGCAACAATAGTTACATCAAGGGTGTAGTTTCCGAAGGGCATGACTACGCTGTTGATCACTTTCAGGTGAAGCTTTTCCATTTCGGTCAGTATTTTCGTTAGGCATCCTTTCTGATTCTCACAAAGGATCCTGATGAGGACATCCTCATCTGAAACTGTTATTTCGATTTCAGGAAGTGGGTAGTCGCGGCAGCCACCTGCAGGGTTTTCATCGGTTGAAGATGAAGAATCATCAGCAATACAAACCATAGACTTCTTGACAAAAACAGCTGATTCCATGGTTTTCTTGGCAGCTTGTTCCTCGAGTGTCTTCACACGTTCTTGAAGATATTTCAGGTACTTAATTGCGTCTCCAAGAACAGATGCCTTGTCCATCTGTCAATAGCCAATCGAACATTGGTAAGCAAAACACCATGTCCAGAAAAAAGATTGTCCACATTTCTACATCATAAGGGAAATTTTATAGAATAAATTATTTTAACAGTTTCACTAGAAAATCAAAGAGACTTGATATAAATTATTCTTTTGGTTTGTATCAGTTGATCAGTTTTTCAATATGGTATCTTTGAATCCTATCCCACCCAATTCTAAGGGTGACACCAACAGTCTAAGCTTTTGTATGGAGTGATCTCTGAAAAATTTTATAGTTTTCATATCTACAGTCCATCAAGTGGATTATGAGAAGATTAATTAATTACCATAAGTAGAAAATATCATAGCTTGAATCCCATATTGAAGCTTGCAAGAAAAACATTAAGAATCCCATGATTCAGCTTACGAACGAAAGAGAAATTAAGCGAGCAATAACAAGTTATATTTACGCATATGATGTACACTGAAGACGTGTAAATAAAAACCTGATTCCTTCTACTCGAATAGGAATTTTGCTGGTACCTTCTTTAGGCCGGGAACAACAGCTGAAAGTGCTATGAATCTCTGGCTGAGCTTTTCCCGGCGATTTCGTTCCTCTATTGCATGTGAAGGAGACTTGCTCGTTGTGGCAATCTTTTTGGTACCGGCTTTCCTAAAATATGTCGCACCATCTTCGTAATTTGTACTTCCAAAGTACTGCAGAGAAGATGCTGGGGGAGGGCTAGAATTATCAAAAGATATAACGTGAGACGAGGAAGAAGGAGGAGCCTGTTGAGAATTTTTTGGCTGTTTTGCTGGCCTCTGATCAATGCTGACTTGAGAGGAAATAGAGGATGCACAGGTAAAGTTTTGCGGGGCTTGATGATTGAAAGTTTGGTCATTCATTGAAAAACACTTTGAAGGAAAAGTCTGAAAATTGAACTCATCAATAGAGTAATCTAGAGGGTTCGTATCGTATCGAACATGGCCAAAAGCTGAATATTCCTCCATTCCCTGTGAGAAAAGAAAAGGGCCAGATATCTCTAAAAATTAGCAATCCCGTATTACAATCTCCATAACAGAAATACATTCTTCATTAATTCTATATTGCAAATAGACCAATTACCATTTCATCAGATAACCATGCTGCTGGTGAGGTTTCCATTAAGCAACTTTGGTACTGTTTCCTTAAAGATTGACAGCAAGAACCCTGAAAGGATTAGAAAGGCATAAATTTCGTGAGTTGTACAGTATTTTCTTATAAGAGTACGGGAGAAACAGAAGAAAAGAAAATAAAAGGGCATAAACTCTCTGGGTTAGCTAGCGAAGCGATAAAACAAGCAGAAGAAGAAAAGACACTGAACCCATGTCTGAAACAAGCAGAAGAAGAAAAGACACTGAACTGAACCCATGTCTTTTTTTATTTTGAAGAATACATAAACGAATAAGGAAAAAAATCTGAACTGTGAAGTACTGTACTCCATGAAAGTAAAGGGGCAAGAATCATGTAACCTAAAAGCAAAAAGTTTCCATTTCTTCCCAAGCACTGATGTTTAGCCAGAGAAAAATCAGTGATTATAACATATATAAGATATCTCGAAGAAAATTGCAATTGCAAATTTTAGAGAGGAAGACTAAAGACCTGAAGAGGCTTTTCCCTTTCCAAACAGGCCAGATGGAGGAAAAAAATCCAGTCAGTTTTATAACAGGGAGAGGAAACGGCAGAAAGGAGCTTCCATTACGCGTTTCTTATTAAAATAGCGGTACTTGCACGTGCTAAAATGATCGGTAGTACTGTTCATAAGTTGACATCACTTCTATGTTAGCGATGATGGGTTTCATCTCTTGTCTTTGCTTATTCAGGCTGTCGTTTTATTTGCTTTACTGATTCCTATGTTGATGATGAGATATTGACTGTCATGATTATAACTGCGTATGTATATTTAATGGTTGATTGAGAGTTTTATAATAGTTATTTTTTAAAGTTGTTATTATTTGAAAATATTTTATTTATATTAATATATTAAAATAATATAATAATACCAAAAAATTAATTTAAAATAAAAAAAATTATTTTTTTTCAAAAACACTTTTGAAATGCAAAA